GGAATATGTGTCAATAAACCAGTTACTAACACACTGAGCAACTATTATCATGTGTCTAAATAATATGATTTATATATGTACATTTAAATCGTTTATTAAAGGGGTCATTTTTCCTTTCTCTTTGAAGTGTTACAAGCTCTTGGTGCATTAAGGAGGTCTGTAAAGTTGCAAAGACTAAAGTCTCAAATCCAAAGAGATATTGTTTATAAAAGTTAAGACTTGTCCACGCCCTCCTAAAATGCCTCGTTTAAACACGCCCCCACATGTCTACGTCAATGCTTAACTAATGATTCATAGTGTGCAGTTATTATAAAGTGTTACCGAGTAATGATGCTGAAAATTCAGCTTTACATCACAGGAATAAATTACATTTTAAAATATATTACAATAGAAAGCAGTTATTTTTAAATTGTAATATTATTTCACATTATTACTGTTTTACTGTATTGTTGAGCACATAAATACAGCCTTGGTGAGCATAAGAGACTTTGTTTTAAAAATGTAAAAAATCATAATGTTTCCAAACTTTTGAGAAGTACTGCACCTTTCTTACCAAAAATATTTTTTTTTAACTCTGGTTCTACAAAATGATCAATAAACATCAGGTGTTATTACAGATTTATATTCTATTGTAATTGTACAATACTTTTGTACATGCAAAAGCTTGTTTTATTGTAAAGCAAAAAAGAAAATCCAGAGTTTACCATTAGTTTACCACTTGTTTCCCACTTTGTGGTGATGGCATTCATGTTCAGTTCATAAATTCTATCCGACATAACTCGAATGCACGAAGTCCCACTTAATCTTTTTATGGCAAGGAAATTAGTTTGTTACCTGGTTTAAGTTATAAAATATCATGTGGATTAATTCCCGAAAAAAAAAATTTTTTTTTGAATTTATAGGGGTTCAGTTTAGGACAATTGCTTTCATACTTGCAATTCAGAATTTACATGAACCAAACCCTATGCTATCTTTTCAAAGAGACTCTGTCTAGTTTCACTGGTGTATATCAGAGTTTGGAAAAATGCTTTGACACCAACCAAACGAACCAATCTCTGGCATCAAACAGACTTGGTTACAAAAAGCTCCAGTGTGAAAGTGTTCTTACCCTCATTGCTCAAGTGTGCCTTTTAAAAAAATGAGACAGTCCAGAAGTCCTTGAGGTTTAATCTTGCATCCAATCCATTGCGGCTCGTGGAGCTGTTCCACATGATTTCAGAGATATTATGACATGCAGCCAATGGGGAATGAAATGCTAAACAAACATCAATTTTCATAAAGCCTTGTGATTTACAGTGTGATTTCACATGTTAATGAAAGCAGTAAAATGACCTACCAAGGGGTTTATGAATCACATCATTTAAGCTGTGGCCAGAGCTGTAATATTTGATCAAAATTCACTTTCTAAACACTATTATTTTGGCACAGTGGATTCTCAGTATCTGGATCTAAAATCTAATGAGGGTGAAAACATCTCCTGCGAAGTCAAGGCCAAGTCATCTCCAAATCTAGTTAACAGTGGTCTAAACTGTGGCCATGAGAGCTTCATCTCAGAAACCACAAGTTTCCATTTTAAGTTTTACAATAATACATCTCCATACATATTTTTGCCACAAGGGCAGCTAAACTGTATTGCATGAACCTGTTCAGCAGAGAGCCTACTAATCTTCTCAAACCTTTCCTCAAACTATATTTCACAGATCTGTCACACACCACAGCTTCTCATGAAGTCAATTGATCAAAAAACAAAAAAATTCTAGGCTACATGCATCTTGAGCTTAATTATGACTCATTTATGTAAAAATGCATGAACAGTAATGCAATTACATATCAACTGCTCTCAAATGGTTTTGCTTCAGGATCCATTGGACATCAAGTGGTGACATCTCTAAGCCATTTGTGATGTAGTCTTGATCATATTTTCTTTTACCTTATAGTTTTTTCTGGGGGTTCATAATTTTCAAGGATTTCCCATGTCGTAACTGCCTAATTAGCTAGCTTCCAGTTAGCCAAATGAATTGGCACCAACAGCATTTGCTGTTGCAACACAACTTTCTGCACTGTATTTCATATTGAAACAGAAAAAATTGTGTGAAACAAATGTGAATTACATAACTGTAATTAACAAGGATTTGCTATTGTTAGTCAAAGGCAAGTGGTATTAGTGGGAGGGACATTCTCATTCTAGAGATCTGATTGGTAAATAGTCTGGACACGCCCACAAGTGCAAGATGAGTCATTCATAGTTTAGTCCACTTTCCCAGAAGAGAAAGACTGTAGATTTTGAGTGCATATATATGCTAACAGAGAATTTTGTCAACTTTCAGGATGACAATTGTGTATCGATGCCCACATGGCTATTACGTATTGAAACAAAACAAAACAAAAATAATATTTTGATTGTGGATGTGATAATGCATGGGGTCTAACTTATATTTAACCCACAATAGTTCTTTAAACTTCAAAACATACAGTCTGCAAAAACAATAGTTTCAAAACAGTCCAGTTTCTGTCCCTACAAAATACTAGAATCTTTCTCTTTCGACAGGAGAGTTGAAATTAAATCTCTGCAAGTTGGAGCCCCAGAGGGAGAAAGAGGGGAAGTGAAGGAGAGAGGGAGAGGCTGAAGAGGAAGGATTTTGTCAGGACTTCATAAACACGTACACAGAGTGGAATAACTATGCCAGGATTAAGACTGAGGAAAACTTTCCAGAGCTGGTTTGAGCCTTGCAGGCAAGCAAGAGAACAAGAGAGAGAGAGAGACCAGAGCCCCCAGTCCTTGGGTTTACAGTAAGGCCAGCCAAACAACAATGATGCACTACAGTGAGAAAGGTGGACACAACTGTAGTGGTGAAAAGAGGATAGAGAGAGAAAAATATCAAAAAAAAATAATGCTTAGAGAAGGACATTTTGACGATCCAAAGCATATTGATCTTGATGATAAGATCTGGGTTTTTTTTATACATTACTTTCAGCTTGAGGAAACTTTAGCGCGATTCAGCTTGAGGTAAATTAAACACAGACCCTTGGTAGGACATATCCAGTATGAGTTATGGCAGAATGAGATAATGGAACAAACGATGGCAGATCATATCATTCACTTGCCAGGTAAGAGTGCAAAATGACAAAAGGTTGAAAAATTGGAAAAAGATGAAATACTGGATTGGAAAAGAAGCAGGTATTGAATATTACTGAAAAGCAACAGATGCGGAAGGGTCTGCCAAAGGCAATAAAGTCAACTAAAGGTTAAAGACAACGTGACAACGTTTTACAGTAACACTTTAGTTTAGGGACCAATACTCACTATTAACTAGCTTCTTATTAGCATGCATATTACTAGCATATTGACTGTTTATTAGTACTTATAAAGCACATAAGTTATATTATAACTTATATTATAATAACTTATATTAATGCATTCATAATTCTGCATGACCTTATTTTAAATCCCTTAATTCTACTTCATACCTATAAACTTTACTACCTTACTAGCTATTAATAAGCAGCAAATTAAGAGTTTATTGAGAAAAAAGCCATAATTAATAGTTAATAGAGAGAATTGATCCCCAAACTAAAGCATGACCCATTTTACTTCTGTAATCTGATGCAAAATATTCAGTGTTAAAAATATATTTTGTGTGGGACTTGCTTTTGAAAAATGTCAGTATTTGTTGTTCATTACTTATCTTGATGTAATGGTAGTGAGAGATAATTTCTGCCATATTGTGACATATCTGAGTGTAACATCTTATTGAAAAAAAGTAGGGTAAAGAAAATAAAATGTTAATCAATGTGATTGGATGGAGAAATATCTGAATGCAAGCTTGCAGACAATTGTAAGAACGAAGCGAGGTTTAAGCAAACTAAATGATTGGAGAAGTCCTGCACCAGAGAGAAGTTTTACCGGAAGTTATTAAAAAAAAAACAATTTAATCTATAAGATTATTAAGATGCATTTAGAAAAGGTGGAATTTCAATTTCATGCAAATGAATGCAAGTTCTGTTAACGATTAACGCATCATTTTTTTACTAATCTAACTTTTTGGTGTTACTGAGATGTATTATTACATGTAAAAATAACACTTTTAAGACCCCAATCTTTGTTTTCACTTCCTTTGTGGTGAGGTTCCCTAATTAGAGTGGACAGAAACCCCATATAATTCACCCCGACTATACTGTTGAGACACGTCGCAGCTGGTGTGACCACTTTATTATGTATGACGAGAGCGTTAATGAATAATTGTACACTGTATACTCCATATATGTGGTCATGTTTTTCCACACAGAGTTGACAGAGGGACTGCGGCAGTTGCGCATATGACATGTTAAGTGAGGACTAAAACCATGCCAAAAGGACTTAAGTACACCTCCCATTTCAAGCAGTTTAGTCTCGCCAGTACATGGCAGAGTCGTCATATTTTCACGAGCTTGTGGCTAATCCGCTGTAGGCGAACAGAACAGTGAGGCTCGTTCCTCCAGATGACAGTACGATAGTGATGGCTGTTTTTCTTGGCTCTGGTGGTCAGGTTGGCGTGCACAAAGCTTATTTAGGCCCTGCCCTCTCCTCCTGGACTTGACGGCTGCCTTCCACACTGGGTGTAAAATACTCTCTGGGGATGTATTTCTGGTATGAAATATGGATGGGAGCCTGTGCATGTGTATTTAGGCAGGGAGAGGTGAGAGAGAGGTCAGCGTTCACTTTGCCGCTACAGACTTGGAGGCCGTCCAGCGCAAAAGAGACAGCGGCTTTTTCTCCCTCTCTCATTCTGCTCTGCTTATGGAGGATGTGCGGAGATATGAGGCATGAGAAAAGCTCACGCACGTGTTTTGAGTGAGAGGTATGCTGCCTATGGAAAGCACGAGCGGAGTCTGGAATGAGAGACTCGTAACTAGCTTTTCATTCACCCCCATTGACCATATCACGTTCACCAAAGAGTAGAAAATGAAAATAAATCGTGTCCGCCGGATAGAACTCAATCTGTGCACATGCTATAAAGAGCAGAAATCGAGAAAGTGTTGTTTTCAAAGATCAGTTTTCATTGATGGTCCGGCAGTGTCTGCGCATGGAATCATGCCATTTTCAATAAAGTAAACATAAATGGCCTATCTTCTTCTGCTCAATCCTCTTCTCCAAAGGATACATTCAATTATTCAGTAGCTTTGGGTGGGTAATGTGTAACTGATAACCTGGATGCTATTTATATTTCATTTCAAAAGGACAAATAATACCGCTGACCTCCAGGCCAAACTCAGTCCAGCTCATGTGAATTTCTGTTATGATGGAGTAAGATTTTTGTTACTGAAGTCAATACGAACCACCTTTGTGTACCATTTTACTTCCAAAATGTGAATGAAGCAAAAAATAATAAATAGGATGTGATTTCATTCAGCAGAATTGATTGGATAATGTTTGTTTGAAGAGAAGTAGTTAAAAAATAAGAGGGCCTGCTGATGTCATCAATATGGAGAATAGTTTTAGAGGTATTTTATTTCTTCACAATGACATGCACTGATGAACTGTGCACAAAAAGGTCAGTAACATGCATTAGGGTCAATGTTGACTTTATGGTAAGCCTGGGACAGAATATCACAAAGTGACAAATGAAGTATGAAACCAAAATAATGACCAGATGAAACCAATTTGTGATCATAACTATTTACTGCATGGAATACACTCAATATTTCATTAATAATATTAAGACAATGAAGCATTCACAAAGCACCAAGAGTGACATCTACAAGTGCATTGGCTGTAACAATGAACAGGTTATGCAACGAATAAAACAACAGTCAAAGAAAATATTCAGAGGACAAACAAAACTAAAACGTCAACATCTTTGTTTTCTAAAAACACCTCTTTCATCCAGATATTAGTTCGTAACATGAGAAGATCGAAGGTAACACAGAACAATATTTGGTGATATACTGTAGGATTAGAGATCGGTTAGTCTGTGGCAGCTGAGAAGGCTGTTGTGATTGGTCAGAATGTATAAGGCGGTCGAGGAGGCAGAATGACAACCATTAGCCCCATCATCGTCAAGCCCTGTCACCACAGCACCCACATACAAGCGTGCACCTATAGCATTAAAGTGACATAAGATAGCAACCATGGTTACATCACACTCAATGTGTATTAGACATACAGTTTATGCAAAAATAACAATTCGTTAAATGCAACTTTGCTTGCATAAAACTATTCAACTCCTTTCGCAACATATTCTGGCACCAAAGTCGAAAAGATCAGAGGCCTCATTTATAAAACCCATGTAAATTCAGATTTAATCCTAAAGTCCATGGATTTGATCCTGCGTAGGAACAAATTGGGATTTACGAAGGCTAAAACTGTCACGGCAGCGTTCTTGTGCGTAAACCAAGTGAAAAGCATGTTTGCGGATTTAAATTTTCTGGAGACTTTTAAGTGAAAATTGAATAACTGATTAAATGAGTAGATAAATTACCATATTTACATAAACCAAAATTTAGGAATATCAAAAATGTATTGCAATGAATATGGGCAGATCAAAACTTTTCATGCAATTATCATGCTTTCATGTTTAGGACTATTATACGCATGTTTAATAAATGAGGCCCCAGAGCTTTACACGTTGGCACTAAAGTAGAGCTAAAAAGAGTTATGATCTAAACAGAAGGATTAGTAAGTTCAAGATCAATTGCTGCCCTGCCACAGTCTGTAGCATAAAGTCCACTCTATAATAAATCTCAACATTTAACAATTATGGGTACATGAGTATGCGTGCATGTATCAAACAGTTTTTTCACCGGCTAGTTTGCAAGCAGGGTGTACTTGGCATGGTCATGTGGTCAGTATGTGCTACAGTGGCTGACATAAGAAATTTCCCATGGGGAAAAAGGGCAGAAAGAACATCAGACTCCTCCATATAGAGAAGAGGTTTCAAAATGATCAAGTTATTAACCATGAAAACAAGGACAAAGCATCCCCAGGCCATAAGCACAAGACATAGCTCATAGAAGTCTCAAAACAAGACTCCTCACTGTAATCTTTGTTGACTTCTGCAGTCCCACCGTTACTATTTTATTTGCACTATTTTAAACGCAATAAACCAGGCCTGAGTTACTGGAGAACACTGTGTTGGATTAGTTTGGTGTGTTACTTCCCTCGTAATACTTTCTCTAAACTATTAACTAAATAACGACTGCGGATTCAAACACAGCCCCATTCCTCGCAGCACTCAATGTTCCTCAATGGAGCACTGTGTGTGTTAGCTTCTTGCTAATGCTAACTTTAGCTAGTATCCAGACTAGACAAACACGCTCACTGCTTTCAGCACTACATATCCAAGAAAGAGGGTGATGCTGAGGATGTGGTCAGACCGGAGAGGAAGAGGAAAAATTAGAGCAAAAAGTCCCTCTCTTGTCTATTTTCATAGCACCCATCAAGAAACACAGAGTGGTCCTTTTAGCAGGTGGTAAATTTAGAGGCTAGCACATTAAATTTAGCCTGCGATTAGTGCCTGTAAGGCAGGGCAGGGTGTAACACTGCCAGGAGAGACTCGCTCACTGTGCAGTGGCATACAAAGTCCCAAATGACTGCATGACTATGCCTCAGTGTTTAAAAAAAAAATCCAAAGGATTTAGTGAGGACCAGGCTATCACAAAGCATTTAACAGCCCTCGAACCAACACCCTTGAAAATGAAGCTTTCTGTCATAAATGCAGCGGCTTAAATCATCTGAACTCATTCCTGAAACGGGAAAGAGCTTTACGAATTTCTGCTGAATGCCTTCAGCATCGTTGAGATTTTGCTATAGTGGAAAAATTTCCTCGGGTTAGCGTTATGTGCATTTCTTTACAAAAACGTACGGTGGTACCAGGTTACAGTGATATCATAGAAGAACCACGGTACATGTTCCATCATAGTGCCATGTTTTTAGAACATGTCCAAATCCCATGGAAATACCATGTTACCATATCTTAAAAACCATGGTACTTTTTTAAAACATTGACAACACAAAAAATGGACTACACATAATAGTTGTCAAATTTAACTATAAAAAAAATAAACTTAAACCAGAATAAGCTGGTCTTCAATTGGTCTATCTGGCCTCCCAGCCTAAACCCAGGAAGAGCAACTAAAACCAGGCTAGTTTTTTTTTTTACAGCATGTATGGATCATGGAAAGGTTATGAAACTGCCTGCTGTGACCAAGCGCTCCTATTTTGTCTGTAAATTCAATGAAAGGCATATTATTCTCTGAAGTCTTGAAAGCAGATGACATCATCTGACGTGTACCACTACACAGTTGACAATGTGAGCCTGTATACAGAGCATACAGTGTGCAGGGTGGAAGAAATTTTAAGATGGTTGTTTTGCGTATTTATTCAGGTAATTCAAGTGGAAAAATGGAGTAAAAAAAATTCTAAAATTAACAAAATGACTTCCTTTCAGTGACAACCGAGGTGTATTTTGAAAGAGTTTAATTGCGGATTTAATTGCAGTTCAAATAAATGGATTCAAAATGGGTGCTACTCTGCCAGAAAACCGGACACTATAATTAAGTCATTGAGCTCAATATAAAAAAATCAAAAGGCATGGTGGAATATTTCTTATTCACAATAACAAACTAGAGATGCACACCTTTGGTCGCTGATAATCAAACACCCAATACTGCGAATTGTACCAGTTTTACATATTATGCATGGTTTGAGATTTGCTTGGACCTTGAAAGTCTACCATTGCAATACTGAACATCTGATATTAAACATATTAGCGTGATTGTTGACTTTAATTGATTTTTTTGTGTAAGACCAAGCACATCAAAACTATATCTTTACAGTGTCGAGGGAATCTCAAACCCTAGTGCACACAATTATGATGAAAGAAGCATAGCTGCATGCTTCATAATGAATATAAGTGCAACATTATCAAGTGGAACCAATCACACTTTATAACATTACTGGACATCAATCCAATAAACATTAAATATATACGCAGTGATGGCATCTGTCTGGTTTCCAACAATATCTAAAGTGAAAACAATCTTAGAGGTATCTATACAAGTTTTACAGAGGACTTTCTCGGTCCAATTTCGGCTGTTGCATATATAACCATATTAGCCTCGAGTACAAACCATATGCACAGGAAAGGTATGAGACACTTGACACTAACAAACTTCGGGTGACTCATGCGAAGAATATGGGGGATAAATTAACATCCTATGAATAAGGTCCATTAAAAAAAACACACAGACAAACAATACAATCTGTTTATATGCATGTACTTGAGTCTATAAGTCATTGTGCGGTACACAAACAACAATTAAAGTGCCATATGTCATTTTAGACTGTCACTGATAAAAATAGAAAATTGTAAAATAGATTGTTTAAAACAAGTATTATGCTGGGATATGAAACTACATGAGGGCCTAGTTTTAAATAATCTGTCCTCTCTATCATATGGCACATGGTGCACTGTGCTCCCTCCTCCCCGCAATTAATTCATGCCTTTCACTTCTGTCTGCCTCGATTTTAAAAATAAAGCATGCTTAGTGCTGAGAGGTGCGTGTATAACTGTGATCCTGTCCATGTACACAAGGCTTAACAAGTGCTGCCTCAGGGAACTTGACACTTGTAGGAGGTCACTGTAAAGTATCTTGAAGGTATTGCTGATACATTAGCCGTGACTTAGCAAATAGGCATATAGTTTACGTGACTAGATATTTAACATCAAATATTTAGAGTAGCAGATATTCAGGTATGAATACTTCCAAGATTACTTAAATATATTTTAATCACTGGACTAAGCTTCTGTTGATCCATTTGCCTGACAAAAGAGGCTAGTTAATGTGACAACACCCAGTTTTACTACTCAAAATAGTGTAAAACACTAGAAGATAGAATGCAAGGGGCATGCGGGCAGGCTAGTGGAGATCCAAAGGATATAAGGTCTTAGGAAAAGAGCAGAGAGAATAAGACCATCTCATTCCCAACATGCTCGACACTTCAGCGGTTAAGCTAGCTTGACAGAATGTACTGCACTGAAACATATGTATGGATTCCATGTGTAGTATTAACCGGAAAAAAACAGCTGGAAGTTCATAACATCCTCTGTTGCTGTGTATCTAAAGCCAACTGTCTGATGGATAATATGAGCCACATACTCCTCTGGCGGCAAAGCTCTTGCCCACAATCCTGCCTCTCTTGGGAGCAGAGCCAGACCTCATTTGACCTTGAGTGGTGGCTCTCTCTCTAGCCAGCGCACACGGACTTTCTGTTTGTAATGATACTCCTTCAGGAAGTCCTGCATGGTTGGAGGCAGTGGCAGGGCACCAATGCCATCGTAGGTGGTGTGTCTGCAGATGGCAGCTCGTGCCAGGTGCTGAAGGCTGAAAGGGAAAGTCCGGTGTAAGGGAGCAGTGAGCAGGGGCTCAAAGAACATACAGGCACTGGGGTCTTTATAATGCTCCAGCAGGCCTGTTACTGTGGAAGAGTGGAAGACACAGGGGTCATGCGCATCAAAGCTAAAGTTGTGATTCCATTGTTCAATGCGTGCATGCAGTGAACGATTGTAACGTCGAAAGCTAACAGAAAACAAGTAGTCCTCCTGTGCAGAATCACGTAACAGGAAGGTGCCCTCTGGTCGTCCGTCCAGCAGTGCTTCTGCTTGGTACCGGTCCATCACCCCCCAATAACAAGGAAGTGCAGTTATGGCCTGTAGGTCAGGCACCAAACAATGAATATAGTCAATCTGCGTGTGGACCTTCCAAGGCCCCGGCTGTCTGGAGCAGTGAGTGTCCCCAGAAGCATGCCTCTGCTTGGGCCTCCGTGTCTGTAAGCAAAGAGTAGTTGAGTCCTCCTCAGAGTCACAGTCAACAGTGTGGGATGGCACTGCCATATTCGCTGCAACCTGTGCAGCAAGCCCCGATAAGCCCCCAGAAATAGATGAGACTGTTCCCAGACTTCTGCCCTCACCAAGTCCTTCCCCAACACCAGGAGCCGTCTTTGGTCCCAGTTTATAGAGAGAAGAGTTCTGTGAAGTTGCTTCCAGCGTATGGATCTGTGCATTTGGAGGGGGATCCACTCCTTCCTCTATGCTAAGTCTACGGCGTTCACGCAGCCTCTCCTCTTCGTCTTCAGGGGATGGATGTGCCGAATCAAATGCATCCAAAAGAGCAGTTGAGGAATGAGGGCTGACTGGCGCCGTATGTTGCTTAATTAGGTGCCACTTGTTGGCCAGATCTGAACCGTGTGGGAAAGGGCATGTTTCGAGCATGAGTTCAGTAAGGTGGATTTTACGTTTGGAGGACACCTGGCCTTTGGCTGACTGAGAGCGGTGTTGTGTGGGGAGAGGAAGGCACAAGCCTACAGTGTCCCGAAGTCGCTGTCGTAGAGAACGGGTGCTAAGGCTGCGCCCACTGCTGCCAGCTCCTACGGAATCATTAATCTCTTGCATAGAGCTAACTCCATAGCGACACTCCCTCCTAGCTGTACTTCCTCTTGAGCGCCACGTTCGCCTGTCAGCCTCAAGTGAACTTTGTGTTTTAGTTGAGCAAGAATGCTTCTTTTTACCTCCCCAGGGAGCATGACGCGAGTAGGAGTCCCTACGGACATGGGGACCCCTCCGTGCATCCTCGCTCTCTTTGTCAATGGAGATTTCTACTATCTGGGGAATATCTGCCACACAGTTATGGCCTCTGCGTCCTCCAGGAACCAGTGGGAGTGGTGACAAGGTCCGTGAGGGTGTGGAAGACCTAGTTTCATAGGGTTCTGCATGTGCTCCCCTGCCCAAGTCCACCACACAGTGGACGCAATCTAAATCCTGGCTACACAGATGGGACTCTGAGCCATCGTTGTGGAAGAGGGCTTGGCATCGACTCCTGAGGTTACCCCACATCTTGCCCACTTTCTCCATAGAATGGAGACAACGACCTATCAGAGAAACAAAGAATTAGCTATTAAAATCTTGTTGCTGTTCATAAATCAGAGACTTGTGATGTTATCTCGGTGTATACTGGATGGGAGATGTTAGATCAGGGGTCTCCAACCCTACTGTCCTGCAGATTTCATCTCCAACTCCAATCAAACAAACCTGAAGCAACTAATCAATGTGTTCATGGCTACTTGATAATCACAGACAGGTGTGCTGGAGCAGTGTTGTAACTGAAGTCCGCAGGTCAGTAGGTCTCCAGGAGCAGGGTTGGAGATCCCTGTGTTAGATGTTTGTTAATTGTAGGGCGATATGTTAAGATGGTAGTTTGACAAAATGGAATGTGAAACATGTTAGACATAGATAAAGCAGCACTGAAACTTTAGTTTGTGAGCACAAAAAATGTGTGCATCATTTTAGAAACAAAGAGCATTTATATGTTGGGTGGGTGCAGGAGTGGTACAGTTAGCACAGAGTTGCCAGGCAGACATGCATCGACACAAGGCCATGGCTATAAATGAACTGAGGGATCTGCTCCCAGCTGATCTGCTGGTATGTACTGTATTACTGAGCCAGTCTGGACCTGACCGAGAACTTTCACTGTCATGGCAGCAGACACATACACACTCGAAATGCACAATAGAGAGGTAAAGAAGTATGGATAGGGGGAGCACAGACAGAGAACATGCAGACAGACAAAAAAAGTCTGTGTGGGGGGTAGTTTCTGTTCCCTTTTTTCAGGAAGAAAAAGTGCTGATCTTGTTTAAAACACTGTGGTTGCACTGCACAAATTATGCTAAATTGAGGCCACCGGCAGATCACGCTCAGACATCCCCATTATAAGAGGAGACCAAACGTATCATCTTCACAGAGCAAAATATATGGTTGACTAGTCTAATGCCAGGACAATACATATGAATTAAAAAGAGAACTTAATATTTGAACAGGCAATATCATAAGCTTACAAAAATTCTTCCAGCAACTCCAAAAAGATCTGCACAGGCTGTATTCTATGGGACATTATTCTCATATCCAAATCATACCAACACTCGACGTTGCATGGAATGAACCAACACAAAACATTTATCTCTGTGTCTAGACTGTGCATTTCTTTTCTAGGGCACACAAATAAAACCACAAATATAAGCAAGAAAAATCTAGTCTTTTCATTCTGCTCTCAGAGCATCATGATTGTATGCTTTTAAATGGTGCACTTGATGTGGATTTCCAGTCTTGTGGCCTTTGCTCGCTCATGCACACATGAAGTCCAAGGCAATGTAGGGCGTCCCATTTGTCATCTACTGATTATGAAGGGAGCTCACAAATAGTGGTCAATTGATAAGAGGTTTTAAATGGTCAATAGTGGGTAAGATGAACTAGAGCAAGGCGGCCCATTTATAAGTACAACTTAAAGGCACAATATGTAATTTTCGCCGCTAGAGGGCGCATATTCAAAATAAACAAAGAGGCAAAGGCGTAGTTTTTGATGACGCCGTGACTGAGTGTGGAATCATGGGAGTTGTCGTCTTCATCCCCACAGTTGATGCAATCCGACGGGACTCAGGCAGAAATCATGTTCATGGATGAGCTAATGATTTATTAACGTACTAGAATGAAGCAGGGTAAGGCTGAAAGCCGTCGAAGCGAAACGAGGCCGCTGAACGAGTGTGACACACGGCTCGAAAGCAGCGGAGCTTTTATTATGCCACAGTCGACCGCTTCCGCTCCTTCCGGTCGTGCGTATGTGGGGAAAAAA